TCCCTCCATTGTTCACTCTCCCCTACCCGCCGTTGGCAACCCCACTTGGGGCTAGTGCGTGTTAGCGCACTACTGCTTTAGAGTCACCAGGGGGAGCACCAGACATTGTGACTCGTCCATTAGCCCCTGAGCACAGTAGGGCAACTGCAAGCATGTTACAGCACGAGTGGCACTAGCCCAGACTGCTGTGGGCAGGAATTAAGCGTGCTAGCCAGAAGGCGCCAGCGACTAGCAATGCCAGGTAGTCTGAGCTCTGCTACACTGCAGTGCTAAAGCAGGGCTGAGACCCACCATGTTTGAATGTGGTTAAATACCTGCCGGTCTTGTCTGTCCTAGAGCTGCCAATGCCCCTGAACGCCGGTAGGGTTTGAAGGTCTTAACCTGGATCTGAATTTCCACAGGTGGTTCCTACTTCTAAAACGGGCTGAGCACTGGGCGATTCAGAAATCCAGAACCAAATTTAACAGCCTAGGCAAAAGAACCCAGGTGTCCTGCCTCCCAGTCCCCTGCTCTAACTAGACCACGCTGTCTGCCCATTCTATTTGCTACACATACCAACGGTTGCTTTCTGCGTGGGAATCAAGTGCACCAGGAGCTGGGGGGGAAACTAACTCTTGATGTAGGATGACAAGGGGCACAGACCATTTTTGTCAGCTGCGTTGACGTCGGCACCAAGTTCCAGGAGATGCCGCAAACATGGCAGCCGTTCGGGCTCCTCACTGGCGAGGTCCAGGGGGCTGCTCTCGTGAATCTGTGGGGAGGAAGACAACAACAACAATGAAAAAAAGCCCAATGATCTTCCGCTTTAGCAGGTGAAAAGCAGGGCTCGTACGGCCAGAAGGGAGTCGCGGAGGTTCCTCCCATCAGCGCTAGTGCAACGGGGCAGGACATGCAAAGGACTGACTGCAGCCAGGCCTCATTACTGAAGTGCAGCCTGTGCAAACTAAGAGTCCCAGCATGCAATGCTCCACCTGGACCCGAGCAGCCCAAGACGTTAAAGATAAAGGGAGATGAGCTAAGCAGGCATCACTCTGGATCCCTCTCTGCCTGTGCTCTCTGCAAAGGAATTCACAGGCCCAGATCTCTCAGGAGGCGTTATCAGTACCGTAAACCTAGGAGAGGTCCGATCCTTTAACCCTGCGTCTAAGGTGGGTGCTTTCCATACCCGATCTCTCCGGTTAATGTCCGCCCCGCGGCGCACTAGCAGCTCCACCATGTCCGGCTGGTTTCGGAGAACAGCGATGTGCAGAGCAGTGTAATAGGTGACGGGATCTAGGGCCAGACCGAACAACAAGTCAGGGAGTTTCAGGACTAAAGACGCCCTCCAAAAAAGATGAAACAGTCCCCGAGCAGGCAGAATAACCCAAAGCAGCTGGGTTCGGAGAGTCCAGCTCCCCAGACGGCGCTGAGAGCGTGGGAAGGGGCTGGGATCCTGCTTGGCTTGGAGGAATGACAGGGAGGGCTGGGCTGAAGCTAAGCTATTGACCGCCCAGGCTCTGCCATTGTGCGGGCCTCGGCTCTAGGCCGATGAACAAGCTGGCCCTAAGCCTCCAGCAGCTGGATCAGAAGAGCCAACTCCATCCCAGCCCCTTTCTGGCAGGCCGCAGCCCTGCTTTTGTGGCAATGGGGCAGCCCGCATCCCCTACAAGCTCTGCAACCCACAGGCAGGCCCCAACCGCTTCCCTGGCAGCAAGGCTGGGGGAGGGGTGAATGGATGGACAAGAGACTCACTGCTTGTCACTGCAGCCCTGGTGCGGCTGGGCCTGCAAGGGAAGCAATTCATGGCCCAGTTCCCCCATCCCTACCCCCTTCCCAACAGCTGGCTGCTCCCCAGATCCCGGGGCCGGCTGTTTAAACCCAGCCACCCTGCGGGAGCACAGCCAACATTCCGGGGGTGATGTCACAAAAGCCCAGCCGCTGCCGGGAGGGAGGGTTTCTCTGACCACGGGCTGAACAGAAGAGTCAGTGTTGGGTTCTGCAGTGTTTTAAACCCTTCACCCTATTAAACAGGCCATGTGCTACCCCACAAAGCTAATGCAAGGAGCATTGCTGAGCGAGGCCGGACGTGCAGCCCTGGAGCCTGGCGTTCGCTACCCAGGTACAGCACTGCCACGCTTAGGACAAGCTAGTCGGCACAGACCAGCTAGCATGCCTCCATCCTGAGCTGAAGGGGTGGTTTAATCCTGGGGGCTCCCATCCTTGTGCTCGCTGTTGGGACTGGCAACACGGGTGTCTGATGTGACCACTGAACTGGCTGGAACCCCCACCTTGCTCATCTCACACAAGCAGCCACCAGTCGGTAACAGCTTGTTGTCAGTGTTGGTGGATTTGAACTGGCAACGTAAAGGTGAGGGGGCCACAGAGCTCATTACTCGCCCCTGAGCCATGCAGTCCCCCTGCAGTGTCTTCTGTGCTACAGCGACTGCCAGACAAACCACTGCACTAGCGCATCGCCTGCCCCACGAGTTGGTAAAATCAAAGTGGTGTCATCAGATTCTGGCCTAACATTTTCCTGTTTCCCTGGAACCACGTTGGTGCTTGCGCCCTGGGAAGCCAGCACGTTCCTACCTAGGATTTAAACCTAAAGGCACTAACCGGCTTCCTGCAATGCCCAGACCACTAGCACAATGCATTTCTAAGTTGGCTCAGAGAAAAGCACCAAGGAACGATGGGAGAGACCAGGCCCAGTGCCAGCAATTGCATTTTCATTAACATTGATAAAAAAAAAAGGCAACGCAGCATCCTCTCCCTGGCTTAAGTGTTCAGGGGGGAAAAAAAATCAATCCATTGTGAGGGAGGGGGGCAGGGAAGGTCTTAGGAGACAGACAGCAAAGGACCAATTTTATTACCCCCTGAAGGGGGTTTGGAGGGGAATGTGGAATATCCTATGATCCCACCCGGCTCACTGATCTTCCCTCTGATGGAAGGCGGTTGGGCGTTGGCTTCTTCTAAAACTCATAACACATCTAACACTGCTCCACGCCTCAGACAGGTTAATTCGGGAACAACCAGCCCAATGAGGAAGGGGCAGGGCTTGGGACCTCGATTCAGATCCAGGACGCTGCGTCGTGGCTCCAATCCATTGGCCAGCCCACAAACGGCCCTTCCCTCCCTCCCTCTCCGCCGGAGCCTGTTTGCATCAGGAACGGGGGTGTGCTTAGAATGCATCATCTCCCCCAGATTTACCTTCAAAGATAAGATTGGCCCCGTTCTGCAGGAGGATTTCAGCTGCAGGCACCAGCCCGAGTTCAGCTACCTTCAGCAAGGAGTAGCTCACGCCTTCTTGGTAGAACGGGGACTGGGTCTCTCTCTCCAACAGCTTGTTGAGGACCAAGAATTTGCTGCTGTCTTCAGCTAGGCAGCTGGGGCTTGAGACACAGAAAAGTGGCCCATTGTTAGAGCTCCAGCATTTCTCCTGGGATGTGCGTTGGAAAAGGGAATTGGGCCAATAACGGTCTCTGCGGGTGTCCTGCCCTCCTATCGCTCCAGTCTTGTGTTGCGGGAGCCCGCCGCCCCCTCGGTGCATTGCGCCCTGCTCTCGTTTAGGGTCTGACCATCGGGGGAGGTTTTATTTGCTCAGAATTAAGTGTCAGCAGCCTGAGAGAGCTCCCCTTAGTTCCTATCACAAGAGTTCGCTCCAGGTCAACAGACTATCAGGGAAGGTCTCTCTCAAGGGTTAAACCGCCCCTCTCTGCAGGTTCTGGGGAACACCGTAATCGGCCTTTTAACTCCTGTGTAAATAATTGGCTCCTCTCTATGAAAGGGCTCCCCAAATCTTCTTGGCACCCACATCCAACATTAGCATCCAGCTTTCTACAGCAGAGGCCTCTGATGGTACAGTCAGTGATTCAGGGAGAGCGCGCCAGCTAGCCCACTGGACTGGGCCTTAGGACACCTGGGTTCTTGTCCCAGCTCTGCCACTGGACCTGCCAGGTGACCTTGGGCAAGTCATTCCACCTCTCTGCTTCCTCGTCCACTTCTTGTATGTCTTGTCTATTTAAATTGTAAACTCATTGGGGCAGGGACCGCCTCTTACAACATGCCTATACAACAGTGGGGCCCTGATTTCAGGTCTGACCTCCACATGCTGCTGTAATACAAACAACGATAACAACAATTTAGAGGGTTAATTAGATACAACACAGCTATTCAGAGGAACTTCTCTGGAGATAAGCTTAGAGTAACCCACAACCACTTATTTCATCCTTCAGTTTGTGACTTACTTTAAAAACAAACAAACAAAAAACACTGAGTAAAGGCCACCAGAGTCTTGACATTTGTTACCTCTCTAGAGTTTCCTGCTTTTCAGGATCCTGTATCCCCAAACATCCCAAGATCTCATCTACCAACGGCTGATACTCAAAAATGATCCTGCGGAAGCCATGCAAGAAAGGCATTGTGCTCTTCTATTCAGAGATCATCCAGAACATCCGTTTGTCTCAAGCACCAGAGATGGATTCTTCTTTTCTCCCTGAAATCAGACAGATGTTCAAACACAGATCAGTTACAGGTTTCTGGAAGGAGAGCATCAGATATAGAGCTGGGCAAAAAATGACGATTCGGTGACACCAAAACATTTAGCGAATTCGTGTTGGTTTCAGCCGATTGTTTTGGATTGGAAAAAAAACATTAAACAATTCTGGAAAAAAATCAAAATACTTTTGTTTCAATATTTTCAAAGTGTTTCAGTTTTTCAGTTTGAAACAACTTTTTGTTTCAAAGTGTCCTTTAATTTTATTCAAAACAATCAACAATGTTTAAAAATGGTCAATCAAAACAATGTTTCAGTTTTGTCAAAACAAAATGATTTGTTTGACCTGAAACAAATTAATTTTACTTTTCAATTTGCTGGAAAAAAGTCTTCAGTTTGACCCAAAACATTTTTTTTTTAAAACTGCCAGTGAACTGAAAAATCTTTTTCACACAAACCTAGCGAGAAGGTCTCACGAAGGGTAGACTCGGATAAATAAGGGGAGTTGAGGGTTAACCATGACCAGGTAACATGTTTTTAAACACGAGTTGTCCTGTCTACGCTAGGACCAAAGCCCTATTTAAAATTTGTATTAGTTAAAACGCATTGACTAATATGTTTTAAAATCTAACAATATTTCCTAATTTAGATATGGCCTAATTTTAATCAATAGAATAGTTAGACACAATGATCAGGGAGTCTTGGTTCTGTTTTTTAAGAAGTGTTCTCAACACCTGCTATAAACAGAAACACTCCATAGGTGTTTTAAAAACCATTAACTACGCTGAACTTAAAAGATCATAATGTTGCAAACAAAACACTTTTTGCTGTTACAAGTAACACATTAGGTGCTCGGATTTCGTACTGCTGAGCATGATATAAGAACCTAAACAGCGTAAGCTTTTTAAAAATGAAAGGATTGTAAGGATCTGATTTAAGTCATCACTATTTAGTTCCTTTGTTTACTTTTTGCATTTCTCCCAGTGTAGACAATGGGAATCAACAAAGTCACCTCTACTGTTGTTTAGTCAATTTCACTTTCAGGTTCTTTGTGGGGCAGAGTTGGAATCTCTGCAGAGAAGTATCTACACCTCTACCCTGATATAATGCTGTCCTCGGGAGCCAAAAAATCTTACTGGGTTATAGGTGAAACCGCGTTATATAGAACTTGCTTTGATCCTCCAGAGTGTGCAGCCCCGCCCCCCTGCGCACTGCTTTACCGTGTTATATCCGAATTTGTGTTATATCGGGTCACGTTATAGCGGGGTAGAGGTGTATTTGTTTAGAAGCAACTGTTTTCACTGGATTTTTTTCCCTTTTAATTTGTACAAGCCATGTTGGTCTTAGGTTTTTAGAAAAGCTGGAGGGCTTCCCCCACTCCTTACACATTTTAAAAGTTTGGCTCCTATGTAGATCATGCCCCTTTAAATTCAAACAATTTTTTTAAATTAAAAAAACAACAACATTCCCTGCATTGTTTCATGGGTTAATATAGAAGAACCAAAACATTAAAGAAACTGGTCTATTTTCATTGTCTAAATACAAAACGTAAAAATAACCAAAACCATAGACAGAAGTAAATTAGATTTTTTTCAGTTTCAATCATTTTAAGTGTCATTAGTAACCAGAGGAAGGAACTCCTCGCTCTGTTTCTCTGAAATATGATTTTAGCCTGACTGTATGTTGCTTTCAACAAAGATTTAATTTCTGACTCTTCTGCTATGACCCTGACCCTACTAAGACCTAGGCATGTGCTTAACTTTAAGCATTGCAAGTAATTCCATTGACTATTCACAGTGCATAAAGTTAAGCACAGGCATAAAGCTTCGGAGGATTGGGGTGTAATACTGTAAGTTCTTTAGGGCAGGGACTGTCTTTTGTGGGTGTGGCTGTGCAAGGCCTGGCACCCTGGGGCCCTGATCCTGACAGGAGCTGCTGGTTGCTACCACAATAAAAATAAGAAATGAATACCACCACCTGCGGAATAACAAGAACATCAAGATACCACAAGGTTACCACAGCAGTCACCTGGTGCTTAATTCACCTGATGCAAATGATGAACTTGTAAGAGTGGAATCAAGCAGTTAACACCTCCCTCCACTTGAAACAGGACCATGCACAGCACAGGAGCACCCATTTTTACATGCATGCACACACACACATGTAGGCTTCCCAACCAGCTCCACCTGATCATACACACCAGGGGGCCTCACACAGGTCCCAGGGTACAGGCCAGGTGACTCAGTGACCACTTGCCAGTTGTAGGGGCATACACTTCCTTTTGGAGGCAGGGTGGCTCTCTGTGGGATCTCTCACTAAAAGCAGCAGCTTGCCTTTATTCAGTGCTCAGGGCCACCAGCAGCACCTGCCACAGTGCAGCTACCAGGCATTGCAATAGGGGATGTGACCAACACGCCACAAAGCTAATCATGCCCCTGCCAAGTACCAGACCCTGCAGCCAGCAACAGCACACACAC